TCACTTATACCGAACATGCCAAAAGAAAGACCGTAACCGCTATGGATGTTGTCTATGCCCTCAAAAGGCAAGGACGCACCCTCTACGGCTTTGGTGGTTGAACTGGACTGATGATCAAGGACTCACTGTCCGTAAAAAAACGGCCCTTTTCAGGGCCACCAAATCTTACAAAATCAGAAACATTTTATCGCATCACATTATATAGCTTGGACTGTTAAAGCATTATTTTAATTTTTTTTAACACCAATGAAAACAGGGTTTTGTATATGACATTATATAATAATACCCCTTGTGTCAAATGCCAGTCATTTCATTAAAGTTCACTCTAGGTCAGACCAGGAGCGATTAATTAGTTTCTTTGTTATGCATGCGTGCCGGATTACTACAATACCTTCATTAATTACAAAATACCACTCTGCTCCAATATTTGATTATGTATCGTCTTTTTTTCCTTTGTTCATGAGTACATCGGGTCTCAACAGTAAATTCCCATAAGACTCAATGTAACAACATCGGCTTAAGAGATATATCGAGAACTTGTGTAATTTATACAAGAGGTAAAGGTGGCAGTATAACATTAGATTAACGTAGTAATGTGTCACGTCAAATTTAATGAACGTCGTGAAGTATGCATGATGTAGCGTCAAATTTATATACAAGTGATTATCATGTATGAAGTTGTTGATAAAATGGGCTATACTTACGAAATCGAGTTTCTGAAGGGATTTTAAGATACAGTCAGATGAATCGACGAATTTAGAATAGAAAAACTCAATGCAAACGTTATAGATATCGATTCATGTTTTTACCTCGTTATGCGTTGGGAAACTGAAAAAACAAAGAAATCCTCGTAAAACTTACTGACTAAATTCAAGTTATTTTTCTAGACATAGTTGTCTGAATAAAAAATTGTCTTCGCACTCCTCAGAGTTCCGACAATAATATGTAACTATAAGTTCCGCTTGTTCGAGGTTTTGGGCAGCGAACGACACTGCAAACTGAACGACAAAGCATTAGTAATTAAAAATAGCTATTAAATATAATTATGGGGATTTGTGAATAAGGTGCTTGAGAATACATTATTATGGATGTTGGACATTTGTGTCTTTTTTTTTTAAATTTAAGATCGTATATGTGTCATTATTTTGTCTAAGCCATCTTAAAATGTTTGTTTTTTTCAGTTAGATACTTGACCGTCCATGGAAATGCATAGAGAGATTAGTAATTATAAAGCGCATGAGTTCATAAGCGAAATGCTCATTATGTGTGATCTCATAAAATAAGGTGGCCCTGAAAAGGGCCGTTGTTTTTGACAAGAAGTTTCTTATGCCTGGGCCTTTTCGGTCTTCTTGGGCAGAAGGACAGCCTGGATGTTCGGCAAGACACCACCCTGAGCGATGGTCACGCCAGACAGAAGCTTATTCAACTCCTCGTCGTTACGGATGGCCAACTGAAGATGCCGGGGGATAATCCTGGTCTTTTTGTTGTCACGGGCGGCATTGCCAGCCAACTCAAGGACTTCAGCGGCGAGATACTCAAGAACGGCAGCAAGGTACACGGGGGCACCAGCTCCGACACGCTCCGCATAGTTGCCCTTGCGGAGCAAACGGTGGATACGACCTACAGGAAACTGGAGTCCCGCACGCGAAGACCTGGTCTTGGCCTTCGTTTTCGACTTCCCCCCCTTTCCGCGTCCAGACATGGTTTCGTTTGGCTCAAGCACAACAAGAACAAGATGATTCGAAGTTTTACTGAGTCGTATTTATAGGCATTGTGAGCGCGCCACTGGGAGAGCGGAGCGTCTTTCACAAGTACGCCCTTTCCACTTTGGCTTTGTTGTCGGCGCAGCGAATCATGATAAATAGCAGCTGGTCGAAGGGTGCCCTCATTCGAGTGACAATGCCGCCCGCACCGTCAGGAAAGGCTGTGAAAAAGGCCGGTAAGGCCCAGAAGAATGTTCGCGCTACGGACAAAAAGAAGAAGAAGCGCAGGAGGAAGGAGTCCTTTTCCATCTACATCTACAAGGTCCTTAAACAGGTCCACCCTGACACCGGTATCTCCTCGAAGGCTATGTCCATCATGAACTCGTTTGTGAACGACATATTTGAGAGGATCGCCGCCGAGGCCTCCCGTCTGTCCCATTATAATAAGAGGTCGACTATCACCTCTCGGGAGGTTCAGACCGCCGTTAGGCTCCTGCTTCCTGGTGAACTGGCTAAGCACGCCGTGTCTGAAGGCACCAAGGCCGTCACTAAGTACACTTCTTCCAAGTAAATCGTCGGTTCTTCGGCACAAAAAACGGCCCTTTTCAGGGCCACCAGGTTTTACGAGTTCAACCACTTTACAACCTCTTCATATTCTTCGTGTTTCGAGATGGTGTCCAAAGTGAATGCCGAGCCTGTTATAGTAAAAAATGCGGATTTTTTGTATTTTGAGATAGATTTTTGTTACATGTGTGTGTTGGTCTTTTCTCACAAACTTCCTAATTCAAACTTTTGAAATGAACTGTGCTATACCGTTTTGCTTGTATTCTGTCTATGTTTAACTAACATTTTGCTGTTTAGATATTTTACTCAACGATTCTTTATGAATTTTAATGATGTTTTTAATAAAATTAGTGGTTTTTCTACTTAGGTTATTTTAGGTACCATAAAATTGTGGAATGAATCGCGTATTAGAAAAATGAATGGAACAAATTCTTTAATATGCGTTTTATATTGCAGCGTGTTCCAATCAAAATGAACAATTTGCCTATTTAATAGCGGTAATGACGAAGAGCTGATTTTCTTTCCTGAGTCGTGTCAGGTGGCGCAGGATACATGATAAACCTACGGTGATTTGGACATTAATCTAGTAGAGAAAGATCGGGTAAGCATTAAATAGATAATGCCATGAAGAGAATGCCGAAAAAGTTTGAATCCAAGATATTTGTTCATCACTCATGGCACAAGTTGATTTCACAAATATTTACACATTTATATTAGCCCGCACAAAAATACTTTAACTCACCTATTTGAGAATATTTTTATATAGAACATTGCTTATATGATAATAAAATATTGTTCCGCTCAAAAAGAACTTAGAAGCTACTAAATTTATTGATATAATTTTCAAAACTTTATACTCCAAGTTCACGTAATGGTAAATATAATATAGAACATAAAGTTGGCTGAACCTATAAATTCTTGAGAATATAGGTTCGACACACAAAATTTTGGGGTGAACTTGGAGATATCGCGAGTCCGAGTATAGTTGGCAAATTTTAAATAAAGTCGTTCCATGGCAAGGAACGACTCATTAGAGATATCTGAAAAATCTATAAGAAACCCCCGCCTCATCATCCATGATACGAAAACCCTTATACTAAACACCAGAAAACCCACTTTCATGAACCCGGTTAAATTAGCCAGAAGCTAAAAAAGAAGATTTATCCACATGTCTTATACCTAATAAATCAAACGACTGCTGCAGCAAATTATAGCCACACGATATAAGTATAAGCGCTTATTATAGCCCTTCTCAAAAATAGCTTAACCAGTCCTTATTTTACTCTACGCTGGTGTACATAAACTACGCAACCTTAACGGTCGCCGAACAAAGATTTGAATTCAGCCACGTGACCACTTGGTTGGTGATCGCGTCCCTTAAGTATGCCAAAGCGTTTCAAAATACCAAATAAGGGAATACCTACATCGTTTTTGGCGGGGAAAAAAATACTAGCGGCAGTTAAATCGGCACACATGGTGCCTTGATTAACCATAAAGCGTAACACGTCCTCAGAAACATCCTGCTTGTAGTTGAGTGAAAAAGCAACGTCTTTGGCCGCGACAAAAGAGGGAAGGGCCTTGAAAGGGGAGGAGCTAAGCGTCACCGAAAGATTCTTCGTGATAATATTCAGGGTGTTTTTAAACCCGCTACCCGCCGCTTGGCTTACCGTGGTAGTGTCAAGCGTATCTCTGGTCTAATCTACGAGGAGACTACTAGTGTCCTTTAGATCTTTTAAGAGAACGTCATTCATGAGATACACACGTATAAAAGCTTTGGATGTAATCAAACATGACTTAACGACCTTTTGTCACCGTCCGTAGGGTTTTCTTGGATTAAATAATGTATCAAAGGGTAACCAAGACGAACAGTATGCGTTTAGCAGGTTATATACGCACGACAAAGACTTTGGATGACGGATAATAAATGTTTCCTATGTCATTTCATTTAACCCACGTATTAAGCGTGAATCTACTGAAACGATATTAAAATTAATTTAGAAGATACAAAACATGGTTTTATTCGAACAGACAAGCAATCCTGTAAAAGGCCGTTTGTGTAGACTAAAGAGATCATTCCTAGTTTTGTTGACCAGAAAAGCCCTGGTGTTCAGCAGAGGTATTTACGGAGATTATTAATTACCATGGGATTATTGTGCAGGATCGAATGCATTTGTTTGCTATTTGAGAAGTAAATGCCGCGTTTATATAGCATCCTGTCACTTATCAGATACGATCTATATAAATATATTATGTTAAATCGATTAAAGAAATGTTAAAGAATGCTTCTAATATATGATCCTATAACATCTGGTGGCCCTGAAAAGGGCCGTTTTTTCAATTACGAGAGTCTTAAGCCTGGGCCTTCTCGGTCTTCTTAGGCAGAAGGACAGCCTGGATGTTGGGTAGGACACCACCTTGGGCGATGGTCACGCCAGATAGAAGCTTATTTAATTCCTCGTCGTTACGGATGGCCAACTGTAAATGTCGAGGGATAATCCTGGTTTTCTTGTTGTCACGGGCGGCGTTGCCAGCCAACTCCAGGACCTCAGCGGCGAGGTACTCAAGGACGGCAGCAAGGTACACGGGGGCCCCAGCCCCAACACGTTCGGCGTAACTGCCCTTGCGCAGCAGACGGTGGATACGACCGACGGGAAACTGAAGTCCCGCACGCGTAGACCTGGTCTTTGCCTTCGTCTTGGATTTTCCGCCTTTTCCGCGTCCAGACATGGTTTCGTTCGATTTAGGTACAACAAACACGAGATGGTTCGAAGTTCTACTGAGTCCTATTTATAGGCGTGTGAGCGCGCTATTGGGAGAGCGGAGCTTTTCTCACAAGAGCCTCCCTCTCCACTAAAGGTCCGCTGACGGCGCAGCAAATCTCGATAAATAGAAGCTGGTCGAGGGATGCCTTTATTTGAAAAAAGATGCCGCCCGCACCGTCAGGAAAGGCCGTGAAGAAGGCTGGTAAGGCTCAAAAGAATGTTCGTGCCACGGACAAGAAGAAGAAAAAACGCAGGAGGAAGGAGTCCTTCTCCATTTACATCTACAAAGTTCTCAAACAGGTCCATCCTGATACCGGTATCTCCTCGAAAGCCATGTCCATCATGAACTCATTTGTGAACGACATCTTTGAGAGAATTGCCGCTGAAGCCTCCCGCCTGTCCCATTATAATAAGAGGTCGACTATCACCTCTCGGGAGGTTCAGACTGCTGTTAGGCTTCTGCTTCCTGGTGAACTGGCTAAGCACGCCGTGTCTGAAGGTACTAAGGCTGTCACCAAGTACACTTCCTCCAAGTAAATTGTCGTTTCTTCGGAACAAAAAAACGGTCCTTTTCAGGGCCACCAAGCTCTATGAGATCAACCACCATAGCTATTGTAGACTAGCCGTTATTATTCATTTCTCACTACTGTGCTGTGTGTGTATAAATCTATAGTTTATACACGTCTGACTCTTCAAGTAAGCTTAGATTCTAAAATATCAAATCCTTTCGCGCAGTAGCAACGACCCCAAGAGGATCAGAGAAATGCTCTGTCAATTGCTAAAGCCCGTCTATACCGTGTACACATAGGTGATAATGCGAACTTAGATGTGGGATCGCTGATTTTATCTGGAGCATCTTACCTTTTAGGACGAGCCTCCCAACGGATAATTAACGGCGAGTGCGCCATTTGTTTGGCCTGGTTATTTTTAGTCGACGTAATAATTACCAAGCTGTTGCGAGTTTTGCTCAAGTTACTGGATAAAGGGAAAAGCAGCCAGTTAATTTATAATTATTAGCGTACGTCAGTGTTACTGTCACCCATGATCACAGCTATCTCGATCTTTTTCTTTTTTTAGGTGATAAAACGTCCGATATTGTAGAAGTTAGTGAGTCTAAAGAAGGATGCTTTTTTGATCAGTACTTCAATCAAGCGGCCAAATGAATGTTACAAACTTATTTCTAAGATGCTGAACTTCCCATGTGTGAATTAATCATTTTTGCATTTAGGAAAACTGTGTAACCCTTTAAGTAACTTAAGATTAATTCTAAAACATTCTGTTATGTTGTATTTATTATTCGTATTTAAACTACAAAGCGTCTGATCTTTTAGGATGTGGTGGCCCTGAAAAGGGCCGTTTTTTACCGAATAATCAGTAATTTAAGCACGCTCTCCGCGGATACGACGGGCAAGCTGGATATCCTTGGGCATGATGGTGACACGCTTGGCGTGGATGGCGCACAGGTTGGTGTCCTCAAATAGGCCGACAAGGTAGGCCTCGGACGCCTCTTGGAGGGCCATGACAGCCGAGCTCTGGAAACGTAGATCAGTCTTGAAGTCTTGAGCAATTTCACGGACAAGACGCTGGAAGGGCAGCTTCCGGATTAAGAGCTCAGTCGACTTCTGGTAACGACGGATCTCACGGAGAGCGACGGTACCGGGCCTATAACGATGAGGCTTCTTCACACCGCCGGTGGCCGGGGCCGATTTGCGGGCAGCTTTGGTGGCCAGCTGTTTACGCGGGGCCTTTCCACCAGTCGACTTACGAGCGGTCTGCTTGGTACGAGCCATAACTTCGTTCCCTTAACAACAGCGTTATGGCGCGGTCAAGCTACTCCATTGCTTATATAGCGATTGGGGCGAGGGTGTACTCAGACTTGCAGCGCCCCCTGGGAGGACGCGTCAGCAACCATTGGAAATCGAAAAATTTCCCAAACTTCATGTGCTCTGCTGTCTGTATTTCAGCTGTGTTAACCAACGAGTTTCTTTTTTTTGATCTCTGATATTTTGTTGTTCGTCAAACTTATTTATATCAATTACTTGGAATCGACAAGAATATCTTTTTAACTAACATTAACAAAAACAAGATCATTAGGACTTACGGTTTGAAACTTGAATAATCAGTCAGTGAGCAATAGTATGCCGACTCTGTTAACGCATGTAATTAGAATTTGGACTATGAGATTCTGCACGACAGTACTACTAGAATTAATTTAGTCGAGCCGGTAACAAGGAGCGTCTTCAGACGAAAAATAATTATTATTGACTTTATTCAAACCAATGTCAACTTTTACTCAAAAAATTATTAACTTATTAATGTAACTACTTAAATGTTGCTGGTTTGAGGTACCCAAGCTAACGCATCCAAAGATAAAAAAAATCAGGTCAACGAAAAACAATTCGAAATTGCGTCGAATCACATGATCCATTCGATGCTTGCGCCCCTGGGGGCGCCAAAACTTTGTACCGATAAGAGAGGAGGACTAACCTTTGGGTCTTCTGATTGGCTAGCCAATATGCAGCATTTTTTGGCGATCACAGCGCCATCACATGCGGTGCTCTTTCCGTCTTTAAATAGAACGACAGCAAACAAGACAAAAGCATATTTCGTTGAGACTTCAGCGAAAGCGGATTACCATGTCTGGACGCGGCAAGGGAGGAAAAGGCCTCGGAAAGGGAGGCGCTAAGCGTCACCGAAAAGTTCTTCGTGATAACATCCAGGGTATTACCAAGCCAGCCATCCGTCGTTTGGCTCGTCGTGGAGGTGTCAAGCGTATTTCCGGTTTGATCTACGAGGAAACCCGTGGTGTCCTCAAGGTCTTCCTGGAGAACGTCATCCGTGACGCTGTCACTTATACCGAACATGCCAAAAGAAAGACCGTAACCGCTATGGATGTTGTCTATGCCCTCAAAAGGCAAGGACGCACCCTCTACGGCTTTGGTGGTTGAACTGGACTGATGATCAAGGACTCACTGTCCGTAAAAAAACGGCCCTTTTCAGGGCCACCAAATCTTACAAAATCAGAAACATTTTATCGCATCACATTATATAGCTTGGACTGTTAAAGCATTATTTTAATTTTTTTTAACACCAATGAAAACAGGGTTTTGTATATGACATTATATAATAATACCCCTTGTGTCAAATGCCAGTCATTTCATTAAAGTTCACTCTAGGTCAGACCAGGAGCGATTAATTAGTTTCTTTGTTATGCATGCGTGCCGGATTACTACAATACCTTCATTAATTACAAAATACCACTCTGCTCCAATATTTGATTATGTATCGTCTTTTTTTCCTTTGTTCATGAGTACATCGGGTCTCAACAGTAAATTCCCATAAGACTCAATGTAACAACATCGGCTTAAGAGATATATCGAGAACTTGTGTAATTTATACAAGAGGTAAAGGTGGCAGTATAACATTAGATTAACGTAGTAATGTGTCACGTCAAATTTAATGAACGTCGTGAAGTATGCATGATGTAGCGTCAAATTTATATACAAGTGATTATCATGTATGAAGTTGTTGATAAAATGGGCTATACTTACGAAATCGAGTTTCTGAAGGGATTTTAAGATACAGTCAGATGAATCGACGAATTTAGAATAGAAAAACTCAATGCAAACGTTATAGATATCGATTCATGTTTTTACCTCGTTATGCGTTGGGAAACTGAAAAAACAAAGAAATCCTCGTAAAACTTACTGACTAAATTCAAGTTATTTTTCTAGACATAGTTGTCTGAATAAAAAATTGTCTTCGCACTCCTCAGAGTTCCGACAATAATATGTAACTATAAGTTCCGCTTGTTCGAGGTTTTGGGCAGCGAACGACACTGCAAACTGAACGACAAAGCATTAGTAATTAAAAATAGCTATTAAATATAATTATGGGGATTTGTGAATAAGGTGCTTGAGAATACATTATTATGGATGTTGGACATTTGTGTCTTTTTTTTTTAAATTTAAGATCGTATATGTGTCATTATTTTGTCTAAGCCATCTTAAAATGTTTGTTTTTTTCAGTTAGATACTTGACCGTCCATGGAAATGCATAGAGAGATTAGTAATTATAAAGCGCATGAGTTCATAAGCGAAATGCTCATTATGTGTGATCTCATAAAATAAGGTGGCCCTGAAAAGGGCCGTTGTTTTTGACAAGAAGTTTCTTATGCCTGGGCCTTTTCGGTCTTCTTGGGCAGAAGGACAGCCTGGATGTTCGGCAAGACACCACCCTGAGCGATGGTCACGCCAGACAGAAGCTTATTCAACTAAAGATGCCGGGGGATAATCCTGGTCTTTTTGTTATCACGCTCGGCATAGTTGCTCTTGCGGAGCAAACGATGGATACGACCTACAGGAAACTGGAGTCCCGCACGCGAAGACCTGGTCTTGGCCTTCGTCTTCGACTTCCCCCCTTTCCGCGTCCAGACATGGTTTCGTTTGGTTCAAGTACAATAATGAGACGATTCAAGTAGCTCCCCTTGAGAAACGGACGGTGGAGACGGTTGATAGAGGACTGAAGTTCTACACGCTAAGGCCTAATGATATAGTGAGAGATAGTTATAGCACTATGAGTGCAAGAGAGAGTAAGATGAGTCCAAATGGAGCATTGCCTAATTCTATAACAACTGAAGTGGTTACAGCGACCAAAATGCCCTCTCCCGAGCGGCATCCTCTCCACTTTGGCGCCAAAATCGCCTCAATAGATTAAGATAAATACGACAGGACCACAGGCTGGCTTTATTTCGTCGATCATGCCGCTTGCACCGTCAGGAAAGGCCGTGAAGAAGGCCGGTAAGGCCCAGAAGAATGTCCGAGCAACAGAAAAAAAAAAAAAGAAACGCAGGAGGAAGGAGTCCTTTTCCATCTACATCTACAAAGTCCTCAAACAGGTCCATCCCGATACCGGAATTTCCTCGAAAGCCATGTCAATCATGAACTCGTTTGTTAACGACATCTTCGAGAGAATTGCTGCCGAGGCCTCCCGTCTGTCTCATTATAACAAGAGGTCGACCATCACCTCTCGAGAGGTTCAGACTGCCGTTAGGCTACTGCTACCTGGTGAACTGGCCAAACACGCTGTGTCTGAGGGTACCAAAGCTGTCACTAAATACACGTCCTCCAAGTAAATCGCCGGTTTTAAACAAAAAAGGCCCTTTTCAGGGCCACCACATCTTGCGAGATCAAACATCACAAAAACTCAATTGTCCAATGCGAAACGTATTTGTCATAGTCGATATAATCTGTTCGTTGGTATCGTGTGCAGCAGAATATCTGGATGACTCATAACATCTATCTGGCCTCATAAGCTTGGTCAAAGATTGACAATGCGGTACTAAGATAATGCTCAATATTTGGTTATTCATTTCTTAAAAAATGGCTGGTCATATCTAATGTTTGGAACAGATTTGACTAATATATGATTATATAGTAGAAAATATCAATTGAGGCGTGAACATATATTTTACTCATTGTGTTCCAAGAAAAGGAGTCAGTCAGGACCGAGATCTTGCTATAGGGTTTTTGATTTTCGTTAAAGAAAAATTGTGATTCCTGACTTTTTGAGCCCGTTTAATTATTACTTGCTCTTTTTTGTGCTATCTCCAAATTGTTTCTTACTATAGAGAAGCGATGAGCCTGAATCGTATTTACGCCTGGACTAACTTTTTTCAGGTACGAACATATATAGAATTGAATTTAAAGAAAAAAAGATGCTAATTCTCGAAAAGAACATATTAGGAACTAACAAGTCTTTTGAATGAAGTAGAAACTTGTTGTGAACCGCTATGAACTTGTAGGTTTCGTATACTAGTGGAACGATTCTAGGAAGGACCTGACTAATCCAATAAAGCATAGCCATTGAGAATCGATTAATTTGTTTTTTAATTTAATTTGATTATTTTGGTCAGCGTGTTGCATTAAGGAAAAAGTTTATGCTGGTAGAACGATACAACTTTATTCGTTAATTAAACACAAAAAAATAATCCATAATTCTTCAGACTGATAAGATGTTCTTTAACCAAATGACTTTCCGTTCAACTAGAAAGAAAGAACGGATTCGAGCGCTAAAAACTGAGATCATCTCTAACACTGCGAACAGTAACAGAAATTAGCAATTAAATCAAACCAATTCAATCAAAAATAAATTCACGTTTTATCAATACACTTTTATCAACTGCTAACCTGTGTCATGTGTGAAGTTTCGCGAAACGTAAGAACTGGCTGTTTTAAACTTACAAAGATTGCATAATTATATAAAGAGCGTATATTTGGCTAAGATTGATTCTCAAATATTTTATATCTGTTATTTATATTTCGAGTGCAAAATGTTTGATATTGCAGCAAGTGGTAGCCCTAAAAAGGGCCGTTTTTCTTTTCTGAATAATCAGTAATTTAAGCACGCTCTCCACGAATACGACGGGCGAGCTGGACATGATGGAGACACGTTTAGCGTGAATGGCACACAGGTTAATATCCTCAAATAAGCCAACCGGGTAGGCCTCGGATGCTTCTTGTAGGGCCATGACAGCCGAGCTTTGGAAGCGCAGATCAGTCTTGAAATCCAGAGCGATCTCATTGGATTGGAAGGGAAGCTTGCGAATGAGAAGTTCAATTAACATCTGGTAACGACGAATCTCACGGAGAGAGACAGTACCTGGCCTACAACTATGAGACTTCTTCACACCGCCAGTAGCCGGAGCCGACTTACGAGCAGCCTTGGTAGCCAGCTACTTCCGAGGCGCCTTCCCACCAGTGGATTTGTGGGCAGTCTGCTTAGTACGAGCTATTTTGAATTCGTGACGAAGAGCGAATGTACCGCGCCCGAAATACTCTGCAGCTTAAAGATGACAATGGTGAGGGTTTGTTGAAAGCAGCAGCGCCCTCTGGGAAGACGCTTCAGAGACACTAACAGAGGTTTAAATGATTGTTAAAATTCAAAGCTTTTTGGCAGTGAAAATTATGTTCTTTTATGTTAGCTTGTAAGATATTGTAGTTGAGCGATGTAGTTGATATAGTGCGAACTATATCGTACTTTCAGTGGAACGATAAAGGTTTCTTGTGTTTAGTTAGATAGTAAATGGCACATACATATATAACAGAAAACTGCCCCTAGTTATAAGCTATTGTGTCAGACATCGATATTCTGTATTAATTTTTACGGGAATTTGAGTAGTTAAACAATAGGTAAATTGCACAATAATTAGCTATTGAAGGTAAAATGCATGTTCTTCAAAATGGCCACTTTTTCAGTAAGTTTAGCTCCGAATCTCAATTGAATTGATTTTTTAATTCGTTTAGTTTAAAATTGCTTTGTACTATTAAGAAACTCATATGAAAACTGTGTCTAAAGCTCTGATTTTCTATGCCGCCGACTGCAAATCTGGAGCCATCATTTTCAGATCTTGCAGTTGAATATGTCTCTGCTTCAGCTGTGCTTTAAAATTAATCGTAAACTTCATATTCACAAATAGTAATATAGGCTATAAGAGTGCTATTCACTGACATGGAAACACATACTTATTTTTACAGATTTATTATTGAGATAATAGAGATATGGCTCTTCCGGATGCATTGATCCTCTACTATGTGCAAAATCTTTCAGCTTGAATACACAATCGTTATATCTCTAAAACAAGCTATCTGTAAGCTCTACTAACAATTTCGGTTAATGTCATAACTACTATTAGATAGAAAACGATTACTAATCTAATTTCGCTCATATAACACTGTTAACTTTATTGTGAAGAGTTACTGCCATTTATCGTACTAGTTATTTTTTCTAATTAACATTTCAAAGTTTTGGGCTATGAAGACTAACTACGATGTAACTGAAATTCCTATAATTGGTATCTACGATTGGTATCGAGCACCGCTACGAAAAATAGCATTATTCACTTATGAAATGTTTTAGGTGACAGTTGAAAGAAATGTTTGCAAAACTTAAGTTTAAAATTTTAGTAAATTCTAGCCAGATTCGAGTCCAGTCACGCAATTCATATTGTGTAACACTAATGGCAAAACGCTTTTCACTCTTCCTACTCAGCCTTCTACCCGAGCGTCGCTTCAGTCCTGATACCCGAATCAGCTCAGCGACTCCACCTGGACCCTATTGCTTGAAATGCTTTGACTTGTGTCTCCATATCTCAGTACGTGCTAATGTGTTTTGCATCTTTTTTAATATCAGATATAAGCAGTATCCAATGTTATCCTAGAGCCTGAAGCTAATAGCAAACCCGTTAGTTTTAACCGTCTATTACATAGAATAGCTTAATTTCACGAAGCACAGAACAGCAAACACTAGCCTATCTAGGATGACTTTTTCCAGTTTCAAAAGCAGATTTTCTCAAAATCATAAACCTTCATTAATTAAATTCTTGAAAAAAAAAAAAGTAGATTCGCGTATGGTAATGCGTGTTCGATCGATAACATCTTATTGCTGTGTATACATATCTAGGAACCAAGAGCAACACTCCTGCTTACAGATACCCTAAATAGTAAGGCCATTTTAAGTCCAAAAAGAAAAGAAAAAAAAACACGCTCCTTTTCGACGGTTTTGTTTGTTTGAACCGTACAATGGGACCGTGGGACCGTACAATAGTAGTACGGCTATGAACATTGTTTAAAGCTAAAAATTACACAATTGTATTCGCCGTATATTTCCCGTACTAGCATATTCATCACAGTAGTTTTGTGATGATATTAAGAGAATAGCAATTGCTTTCATCCATCTAAACGAATCAAGATTTCACCTGGTAAATTAAGGTATATAATTACTCGAATGACACCAGCAAGCCACTGGCTAGATGAACCAATTAGTCGGGACTAAATGCCCACATGAAGCTTTGTTGATGAGGCGTAGCTTTCGACGGCGCGATTAAGGGTTGCTATAGTTGCTCCATTGGGGTTATATAACGAATAAAATGTAAAACATCGTCTAGGCAACAGATGATAGTTGAGCAAAATATCTACTAACACTCGTGTTCATTTTTACTGGAGAAGTACAGAGGGTTATTCATACTACGCCTTAGTGCTAACGTGTGATTAACCTTCTATTTAAAATACGTCAAAAGCTACCGGGATATCGCAGTATCTTTTGTAATTTCTAACAAATTATAATCAAGTGTCAAAGTGTCGCAGTAAAGTATTTGCTTTTGCACCAACTTTTACCCATTTTGTCAGATTCAAAATGGAACGGCGGGTAACTTAATTTCCGTGGTCGCTTTCGCTAACGAACTCATATGAGCTTGCTGAATTTACCTTCGTGTGTGGGTTCTCTTATAATTATCAATTATATTATATATTGTATAATTTACTAGTTCGGTATGCATCCATGCTTTCGGTCACGACAATCGTCTTTTCTAACTCAGTAGTTTTAGTTGCAACCTTTCCTTAATGCTAGTTTTGATCTCACTGTTGCGATGTAAGCCAATAACGAGAATAGACCCAGCACAAATAAACTGAACGTTTTTTTTCCAAACAGACCATTGATGCTCAGACCGAGACTCTGGAGCTAAAAATGATGAGGCATTCAAGGCCAAGAATGAACGCCAATGAAAAATAATCTATCCGATTTCATATAATCGATTGCAGTACTTAAGGCCAATCGTCAATGGCGTCGATTAACCAGACAAGATAACTTTTACGTAATGTATATATGTATAATAGTTCCCTTTTTTCTCTCAATAAATTATTCCAATAATTCCATTCATATGGACCACAGATTGCTCAATAAGCGAACTAATACAACTCCAATATTTACCCGAACCAAGGCTTTAACAACACATGATACTTGGTACGTGTACTGCACAACTGCAAAGAAAGTATACAAATTAATTCACTTTTTAATCACAACTAACAGCCAGTTCATTCAGGTATAAGAAAAGTTCCTTAAACCAAATTCTATACCAATTCGTAATCTAAATAGAAATCCATAATGTAACGCCGATTTACGAACGTGTTAGAACTAACGTCGAGCAAACTCTTCGAGTCAAGAGTTCGAAACGAATCACGCGACCCACTTGACATTGGTGCTTTTTTCTTATCAATGGGAGACGAGCACGCGCTTTGAAAGGGGTTGTGATTGGTTGAGCTAAGATCGAGCGCCTTGGATAGCATCATGTCAGCACATGCGGTGTCGCTGTCTGCTATAAATAGGGATGGTGCGTTTAGGAGCAATATACTATTTGCTGAGACCCAAATAAGCGATCAACATGTCTGGACGCG